TAAATGAAATTTCAAAGCAATCTCCATCATCCGAAGTCCGTTTTACCTAAGAATATAAATCTCGTACGGTACTTTACATGAATGTCCAGGTCAAAACAATTGCCGTAAAACATAAGAAGCTTTAAGTATACATCAATTTTTGCTTTAACATCCATCACAAGCAGCATATATAAAATTTTTGGTACTTCTATTGTCGGAAGAAACTAGGTACTACTTCGCGCTGCTGATGAAATGATAAGTGATTCACTGCATTCGACACCAACACAAGTGATAGAGAGAAGCAGACTTGAGCCCAAATGTTCGACGTGTTCAGCACTGATGTAAGAATTGCATTATTCTGGACCACATCCACAAACTTAATGAAAAAACACTCACAGGATGAGAAGTGTTGATCGAATGCAAATTTTATTGCAGCTAAGCAATATACAGCGAGTGGATTTTTTTAGTCCTCTAAACATTAACTATGAAATGTGTAGGTCTGTCTACTCTATCATATATTTGAATAATAGAAAAATTTGACCCATATTTATATTTTCGTAAAATATTTTTATGTGTAGAGATCTTGCATGACCTGGAAAGACGTGAATCATTTAACACTTGGTCGGTTTTCTATCTCATGCATCAAGTCCTGCATTGAGAAAATGAATGATCATGGCATTCTGTCAGCTTCACTTGTTGTTGCTATGTGTAGTTGTTAAATTCTGCATCTGTATGTGCCGGCGAGGCGCGTGTTGTTTACAACTGAGTTTGTCAGCAGTCAAGAGTCTAGACCTCTTGAGTGCTAGGTTGGACGAGAAAAAATGAGGGAGCCAAAAGTGAATATTTTCCACGAGCAGTGGTGTCACTGTTCCACGAGCAGTGGTGTCACTGTTCCACGAGCAGTGGTGTCACTGTTCCACGAGCAGTGGTTTCACTGTTCCACGAGCAGTGGTATCACTGTTCCACGAGCAGTGGTTTCACTGTTCTACGAGCAGTGGTTTCACTGTTCCATGAGCAGGGGTTTCACTGTTCCACGAGCAGTGGTATCACTGTTCTTAGTTCCCATGAGTCTGATAAGCTACAAGGGGAGGAAGTCTGTATTTGTTTATGTATGTTTGTTGAGAGTTCGTTGGGATTAAGCATTAAATGTGCGGTATAAAAACATTTGTAGCCATTACCCGAGCCAAGATTTATTCCAGTAGCACTCAAGTAGGATTTAATGGAAAAACTCAAGGTCTGATACTTGAAACGGCAAGAATTGAAAAGAAACGGCTCCCAAAGAACAGAAACACTGCTCAGAAAATAATGTACATTTTCGCGAATGTTACACAATGTTGTTGATACCACGATTACGAGTAACATTGCCATTACAGGCATCAGCATTTTTAGGAACATGCATCCAATATGTCACAAACTAAATGATATCGTGGAGGTCATCAGGAGACCGTAAAAAGAGATGAAGAAGCAGGCATTTTTGACAAAGAAATAGATTTTATCAACAGATAATTGATGCTGCTAAACAAGCAGAAAAATTCACTCAAGCTTCACATCAGCTCTAATTACTGCATTGTTTGAGCCGATAAGAATAGACATCAGGATGCAAGAGCCTCCAATAAAGAGAAAAGAGCTGAGTCCATAGCGACCAGTATTTACACTACAAAAATTGAGACAACATACCAAAAGCTTCTTGAGTTAAGAAATATATTTCTAGTAACTTTGCTGATTTTGATTTTGTGTTCATGTTGCACTGCCTTAATCAAGGTAATTGCAGGCTCAATCCAAATCAATAGATCAATCAGACATCACTATTTATGGATTCACCATGTGTATCAATTATCATCCATCTTCTGCAACGATTGATATTCATATTAATTACCAGGCAATCAGCCATATTGATTGATCAGCAACCACTAACCACCACAATCTTGGCAAGGCAAGGCACTCAAGTGGCAAGGCAAGGTATAACAATACCATGTCATACCTTCATGGCAATACCTTGACATCTCCAAGGCAGTAACTTTGCATCTCCAAGGCTAAGATGAAAAAAAAAACTACTACATTTTACCAGCTTTTGAGTGAATTAGCCTTACCATCCCCTAGTACATCATTATATACTATGCCATCATATCCGGATAACCCTGTTTATCATCAAGCATTCAACGCCAAGTCTTTTATGCATTGGTTAGGCCCATGTCTCATTCAACAACATTTGCATACTATTGCTCCACACATTTGTTCCTATTTCATCAATAATGTTCCACAGGTAAATAGAGCTTTGTGCAAAATTCAATTATTATTATCAATTACACTAATATCTCAGTTCTGATTTCATTTTTCTCACTCTAAATATGTTCCATCCCATATCTTCTCTCACAGCCTCTACTGCAGTGCATCTATGGGCTTTAAGTGCAAATCAAGCTATCCTATTCTAAACACACAAATCTAGCTATCCTATTCCAATCTATACAGTTCTCCACCATTCCATGGCATAACATCCATCATTCCATGACAATGATGACATCAGTTTTATATATACCATACATATTAATCCCAGGAACTGCCATGCTTTTCTTTGAACATTATGCTTACTTGCTCTCACTCTTATAGCTAGCACTTCTCAGTATTTCTAGCATTGATTTGCTGCACTAAGACTCAATGCTTTAGTTCTCTCACATTCATTTTGGCCAACACTCTATTCTCAACACCTATATATATATATACCCATTTGTCATCCCAGGACATTTTCTCCCAGTCATATGGTGCACTTTGTTCACATCCTCAGCTGTTTCAGTCACAACTAGCACCTGATTCATCTTGAGGCTAAAGTGCATATTAAAATCCTTGCCATACTCAGTTGAGGAAAACATAGATGTGGACAAAGCCAAGCATACTCTGAAGTTTGTCATAATTTTCACTCAAAATTACTACATCATCAACATAAAGAAGCATTTTTAAACTTCCATTGCTCACACGCACTCCTACATCCATTCTTCTCAGTCTAGCAGCTGTCTCTTCAGTGTACAGGCTAAAGAGAAGCAGAGACAAGATCCTTGTTGTAGATCTCTAACAATTTTCATCCAGTCAGTCTCCATGTCTCCAAGCCTATATTTTACTCCAGTGCTAACATACAACTGACACAAGCATTTAACTATCCACACAAATATACTTTTCAATTGTCATTACTAAAAATTACAAATGACCATTTTAATGAAAGTTTTGATTCAGACAAGAAAATTGATGCTCTTTTGTATATTATTTAATAAGAGAGAAGTAGCAATATCTATTCAATTATTGGATTCAACTTGATGAAATTTAATCAAATTAAAGTTAGTTATACTTTATAATATATTTATAATGATGGAATTTAAATATATATTATACATTTTTGCAGTTTAGGGAACATGTGTATCAAGCTTGTAATATTATTTAACTCAAAATTACTCCACAAAACTGTAGAGTAATTTCAGCAGAAATCTAAAATTGAGCACCATAGAGGTGTAGAAATACAAATATCTTACAATTGTTCCTAATATCTTGTACTGCCAAGTACCAGTACTTGACTACTGGTTTAAGAAATTAGAATTTATATCTCTTTTTATGCTTTCCCACAAAAAGAATTGCAATTTCACTAGTTGTTACAGAAACCTCATGGCTTAAAAATTACAATTTTAATACATTTGGAATCTTATAGCATAATTGTAGCTTTTGTTAACAATTAGATAAGTAAGTCAAGAAGAAATCTTGCAGTTCCAAAAATGGGTATTACTTTAGATCAAGTGCATCCAAAAAAAAGGGCGTTTTTTTTATTATATGTTTTTTGGGGTGTAGATTAGGAATCTGAAATCCGTTTTTGCGGTCGGCATCAGAAATTTTTAATGGAACCTGTTCCTAACTGGACCTAACCTGCAAGGTTTTCATTGATCAGCTAGGTTTTTTCTATGTTTGGAGTCTGTCCGGCAGCTGGAAAAACCTAGCCAATAGGTTTTTTCTATGTTTGGAGTCCGTCCGGCAGCCGGAAAAACCTAGCCAATCAACAAAAACCTCGCAGGTTAGGACTCTAGTATGGAATATATCTACTTGGCGAGCCGCGACTGAATTTTTCGAGCCGTGGTTTTATGGATTTGCCAGCCGTGATTCCATTTCTACGAGCCGTGATTCTATTTCACCAAGCCGTGAATTCCATATCTCGGCCATGAAAAGCCATTTACGAGGTGCGAATGCGAATTTATTTACAAAGTTTATGCATGTGTTACCCCAAATCTCTAATTTTACCCTTAAACAGTCAAACGGCAACAATAAAATTTGTCTCTACTGTAAGTTCAGCACGTGTTAATATACAGTCTGACCGCTTTGACATGACCGCAACTATGCGCGATCTTCAACAAACGTTTTGTTTATTTGTTTACATTACGATGTTTATGTTTTTTCTGCAAGATATTTTTGGCGGAAACGGTAAAGCAATGCGGATTGCGGAAGTTGAAAATTTTATGAAATGAAATGTTTGCGAAGTGCAAACCGCGATTTTTTCATCAAACAAAAATTTATGACATTCGAGCCGCGAGATTTCATACCTACTGAAATTATATGATATTAGAGCCGCGAAAGCCCGCGATATTTCAGACAAAAATAGGACTTTTCCAGACTAGGGTCCAGTTAGGAACAGGTTCCGTTAAAAATTTCCATGCTGACCACCAAAAACAGATTTCACATTCGTAATCTACACCCCAAAAAACATATAAATAAAAAAAACACCCTTTTTTTGGATGCACTTAATCTAAAGTATTACCCAAAAATGTCATGAACTCTGGTTGTGGCTCAAAAGATAGACATATTCTATACCTGCTTGTACTGGTTTCAGAAATTGGAATTTCCATGCCTATATTAACGCTTGTCCACAAAATGGTTTAAAAATTGGAAAGAAACATTTCTGTACCCAGTAGGGCCAGTACTTTCAAATTTTGATGCCATAAAGTATAACATTGAAGCTAAATTTTGGTATTCTGGTTGATTTTGAAACTCACCGTCTATTGGAGTCATAACGAAGAGGCTCATCCCAAAATGAGCCAATGTAGACTCTTGCAACTTCTGGAGTGTTAAGGACTTTGCCAAGTGACCACATCAAAGCACCATACACCCTCATCAGTTGCTGATGATCAATCATGTCAGCTTTGTTGAGAACAATGCGGATTTTGTCATCATGACCTTTAAGAGCTTCTATTGATCGTCTAAATTCATCAGAGATGTCTAGTTTGTGAGCATCAAAGAGGAGGATGATTCTGTCAACTCTCTCGGCAAACCATTCCAAGACTCCAGTGAACTCGTAGCCTCTGTCAACTCTCTGCTTCTCTCCGGACAAAATGCCAGGAGTGTCAATGATACTTATGCCTTTCAGTACCGATGAGTCAACTTGTGAGCATTGGAATCTGTTCAAAAAAGCATTTCCAAACTTGGACAGCGGGCGGAAAGGTTTCTTAGGATCGACAACGAGAGCGTTACCAGGAATGACTCCATCAGTTTCACTGTACATGACAGCAATAAAGCCATCAGTAGTTGGTTCCGGCCCTATTCTTATACCGGGAAAGTCTCTTTCAAGCAAATAACGAATGAAAGTGGTTTTACCAGTTGAGTACTGACCAACTAGCAAGATCATGGGCTTTGCATCGAAGTCAGGATCATCCAACGCAGGGGAGTGAAAATCATGAAAGTGATAGCTGCTTTCTAAAGGTAACACCTTTGTTTTGTACACTTTTTTCAAGCCCTCGAGAACACTTTCGTACACGTCTATGTTTCTCTTCTTGGCTTCATCTTTATTAATCCACGAAAACATGATTGCTCGTGTTTTAATGCCAGCGGCTCACAATAACAATCAATCACGTGTCACACCCGACACCATACTGACACAACGGCAGAACTAACGAAAGAAGAGAGGTGTTATTGGACAGTGGCACCATCTTTCGAGGACAGGAGAAAACTTTGCCAACTGGGTTTTCATTGAATGTTGAACATCATCCCCATAGAGTGATATTTTGTTTGAAAATATATAAATCATTGTTTTAAATTCACCGTACTAATTAACCTGAGACGCATAAATATCGATTTTCGTTAATTTGTTTCAGAATCCAGTATATAAATTTTATAGTATCAGGGGAAAATGTGCATGAAAAGAAAGTAGTAACACAATTTTCTTCTTAAAGGGTGTACTACAACAAAATGGGTCGGGTTGGAACGGAACGGGGTTGATGCTGGTGCACCTGTTTTATTTAATGGGAGTTAATTCAAATTATTAAACTTTAAGTATCGTTACTTAACTTTACTAAAATTTTCTTCATATGCCGTGAACTTAAACAGTTTTAATTTCAAATACATGAGTTAGACAAAATACGGGAAACGCGTACGCAACATTTTGCGATCAGAATTTTTGAGCATGTTATAATCAAAAAATACTTGACATATTTTGATATCAAGCTTTATTGATTAGTCATAATTTATTTAGTGTCAAATGTTGTTTATACCTACTTCTGATTGTTGAATTATGCTTCGATATTTAAGTTGTAGAAAATATTTGTAGCTATCTTATGAAGGTAACAAAACTCTCTGACTTTCAAAGAAGTCATGCTGTTGGTGCTCGTTATGTCAGGTTCTAGTTATATTAAAACGCTGAAAATTTACAAATTGTACTAATCGATGTCTCAGAAAAATGAGGCGGTAATTGCCACAGAAGATGGAACTGCATCATAATAAATATGGAGCGTGAATTTTTTTGGTACTTTCATGCACAACTTCTTTTTAAGAAGACTGCCTTATCAAAATATATGCAACAATAAGCCTTAAGACCAAACCGCCTAACGAACCATCAGATCGGGAAAACGTGCTCCGCTATAAGGCCGTGCTTTGCCATAAGATGCCGGGCAATGCAAAACGCAGTAAGTAAATAGACATAAACAGTGTCGAGATCTATCGATGATTAACTGAATATCATAAATAAGCATGCGAATGGCATGTGGGTTGTTAACTTGCCCGAAAATTACGGCCGAAATAAAAATACACTCCTCACGATCTTGGAGTCTGAAAGATGACTTATTAGGAACCAAAAAAAAAAAATTCTTTGTCATCATAATGCAAGTACAGACTACAGTATATATGTACGTGAAAGGGGTGCCTTTCTGGATGCCCGACAGAGAGTCCTTTCCATTAACTTCAATGGGCAAAAAGGTTTGCTATACGAACCGAGTTCCGGCCCGAATTAAGGCGTCTCGTTAAGTTAGTAAGACGAAGTTCCATTAAATAACGTACGACGTAAAATTTGTTTGTTTTTACATTCTTCTGTATCTTTCCACAAGTTGACCATCTTTCACAAGTATCATTGATGGTAAAATTTCCATCGTATTTATTTGTCTGTTCCTGGAGAGGGCCTATGTAAATAGCTTTTTTGAGGAAGATGTCGAAGTGTAAAAAAAAATCGCCAAAAAACTGGCCAAAAAGGTAAACATTTATGTGGTAAATAAGCTGACGATGAAGCTGGATAGATCGAGTTATTCAAAGACTGTCTTTATCGCATACCCAGCTCATCAAATTATTGGTGCTTACTGTCAATATGTTAGATATATAATGTAACTATATTATATGTTAACATGAAGCTTGAAGTTGTCTTTCAAATGTATGTGGGACTTCGTATCAAAATTGTAGAAATCTTGATTCGTGCCCTATCTAATTGGCCTTAAGTCCTAGGAAGTGTATCAGATAGGACTTCAAAGTTCAAACAGAGGCGTTAGCATTGATCGTGAGCACCGTACGCACCACATAAATTTAGATTCAGCATATTTATCAACGGAATTGGATCACCTTTGACATTTTCTACTTGCATGGGAAGCTTCATCTCTACAACGTCAGTTTGTTAAGAGTGAAGCGTCTTTAATTTTTGTTTCAATCGAGTTATTTTGATTAAAGAGTATATTTTTTACTAACGTTAAAAATACAGTGGTCTAAATAAACAGTGAAGAACTCTGTCGCAAGGTCCCACGAAGTTACGTTATTTAAATATACAAAGAGTGTTAGAAGTGAATCAACCGTTTGGGAATGCATAACAAAGATTTTATAAATTCAGTAATGAGCCGATCAATCCCGAACTATAATCTTCCTGCTCCTTTGGGTTATAGTATAGTAACTTCGGCATTAAAGAATAGGCCTGGATAGGCCTGTCGCCGATTCTTGTACTTTTCTTGACTAGACTGGCCTTACGGACGGTATATTTAAAATCTCTTCTAGATATCAGTTGTTCCGTGGGATACGAGGCATTTTAAGACTAAACATATGCTCATGCATGGCCTTGTCTATATAGTCTGTTCTTGAACGCGTTCATACTCGGAGCGTCAACAATATCTTCAGGGAGGCTGTTCCACATGTCAGTGACTCGAAGCGAGAAGAAATGTTATGGTTGAACAAATTTCCATATTGAACTAATTTCAATCATGATAACTTTCTTCTTGTCTGTTGGCCAATGTCTGACATATTTACCGGCGATGGTTACTGACCAGCTGATCAGTACGAAGTACGGACAGCAGGTAGCAACCATGCACCATAGATACGACATTTCCAATACTAATATTGTTGAATTTATATGAACACCTAACAGGATTTTTGTGCCTGCCACTATAGATATTAAGAAACAGGCTAATTGTTGTAAAAAATACACAACTGCGGCAAACGAAAAAAAATAAAAAAAAAACAAAATTTGGCGTCAAATTTATCTACAAATTTCGTTCTTTGACGAAAAAAGAATGAGACAGTAAAATAAAATCAATAAAAACGTAGGCAACATTTATTTTAATTTCAGCTGCGCAACTAATATGACGGGAATTTAACCGCACATAATTCCTGTCGAGATGAATTCGTTTCTTAAAAATTTTGTAAACGATTTTTTTAACGAATTGTGCAATGAGAACACGACTAGCATTTACGTCGATTTCAGAAAAATGCATCCATGACGAACAAATCACAAATTGGCTCTCAATACCGAGCAGTGAATTATATATCAAACTAGAATATTGAGGAAGATAGACTTCTTTTAGTGAAGTCTATCTTCCTGTATAGCGGGAATGTCGGAGAGGCAGAGCGACTGCAATACTGCTTCAGCTCTCAACCGCCAAGCCGGCAACAACACCGCCTTTGTAGTGAGCTTCATCGGGGGTGGCAGTTGCCGATGTTCGATTCGTTCCTCATTTGTTGAATGATGTCTTAATTACCCTAAACATGAGAATAAGTCACGGAATAGTTTATCTACTAGAAAAAATGAAATTTTAAAATCAGTTTTTTAAATTCTAAGTTTCACGTGAACTGTATTATACTATTAAAATAATCTTCGTCTCCTATTCATTAATGGTTTATGTAAACAAAAAGAATGAAAAGATAATCATTTATAATCTTAGCTTGCACATTTATTGCTTAGTAATAACATTTATTAGAAGGAGAAAGGAAAACATTATCTTCAGCTTTAGTGGCCACACAACATAATGAGTTTAGGGAACAACAGTCTCATTGATTTTTCGTAAACTAAGTCAGTTGCAGTCACAAAGCATAGAGCCGTAGACCAATTAAACTGTTGCATTAGCCGAGAGGCAATATTTTGCTATGAGTGGCTTACTACGGTAATAGCTTCCAATATTCGTTTAAGACTCGACTGAATATGTTTTTATTATTAGAAGTCCCTCGTGCTCATCTATCATATGAATACTTTTATCTCTCTTGCTCATGACTGAACGTTTTTATTTTGAAAAAGATCTTCTATGGCTCAGGGGATTATGTACAGGTCTAGAATCGGGGATCCTCTATGGAATTGGACGTATGAAAAGTTAGCTTTCATTTGAGCGCAAAAATTCTACATCATCTTTGCATTCATTGCAAACACGTCACATACATTAGTGGTACATCTTTGTCAGTGCATGTCTCTGCCCCGACTGAGATCCGCGTCGGTTTTTGCATAGGTTTTTGTTTGTTTCGTGCTTGCCGTGAAGCAGCGCGTGAGTGGCGGTGAGCCATCTTGGCAGGCAACCCGCGGCAGCACAGCTCGCCGCCAGCGCATCCGGCGAGTTTGGCTACGAGGTGTGCAATGAAAAATTTCATCGATATTATTTAGATTATATATACAAAATTTAATATCCTTGTTGTTATTATTTCATATCTTATTGGTTTCACTATAAAAAAGTTCATAAATCGAAGATTCTTGTTGGAAATTTCCATTCTCTATTTATTTATTTTTTAGGCTCTTTTAGCTTGCGCTCATGCGCTGTAATAACTATTTATTCCTATACATGATTGGATTAGAAAAATTAACTTAAAAAACTATGATTATAAGCGTGTGTTCGATTTTTTTTATTCTTTCACACCCAGAGAAATTTAAAAAGTTGGCAATAAATATATAGAAGGTAACAATGGAAGTGAATATTAATACTATTTGATATTCATTTTAACCCTCACCCCACCTCACAAGATACGGTTATCTAGAGAAAAACAAAGGAAACTACATAGAACATTTCGTAAACAAATCAGTAGTTTAAAATTTTACCTAATGCAATTTCAAGGGTGTTTTTTTTTCAGAATTACACGCCATAGATATTCGGCAATTGAATGTTGTCCCTACAAATTCTCCTAGCCTTTTTAACAAATTAAATGAATGCAATAATTAGACACTAACTTCATGAATTTTATTTCTTCGAAAAATTTAGATGTTTTTATAAATTTTGTTCATTAAGATTTCTAAGCCGAAAATATGAGGGAAAATTTGCATTCCCACGAAAACAAATATCCTGAAAGGCCAATATTCATCGGTCACGCTTTTGAATCCGCATTGAATAGCTTTCTTAAAAATGACGTGAGACGACTTTCAGCAAAATCTGGCAAAGCAAACATGTTCCTAGCAGAAGCACTGTTATGTCAGCCTGTTACGCTGTTATACTTCGGGGTTTGTCAAACATCTATATAGTATGAGTAAAAAGCTACACACCTCTGAATATCAGGATGAGATAAACCTCTTTATTAAGATATTGATATGTTATTTATTGATTTATTTCAGCCACAATTTTCTGACGTATTTGAACATTGGATAAGCCTCAATACTTGTCCCTGAAGGCGATTGTGTAAAGAATAATGTATTTTATTTATTAAGGCCAAAGTATCATTGAAAATAAAACTAATTAAACTAATTTGCCAACAGAGCTTTTCTAATACTTTCATCGTGTCAATTGTTGGTGACGCACCAAAAAGTGACTGTATTTCATCGCTCGTTGTGAAACGATTCATCATGCAACATCCATGCACAGAATATAGATGAGCAACACGTTCCTGGAGGCAGCCAGACTGATATGCTCGACGTCAGCTTCAACACGTGCATTAACTCCAGGTGAAGAAATGGGACTTGGGGAAAGCTCATTGATCAATTGAATTGTTCCGAAAGAGCATTGTTTGTTTTACCTTACTTCTTTTTATGCAGAACAAATTAATTGATTACCAAAACGACATGGGTGTAATGTAATTTATAACTATTAATTTATGTTTTTTAAGTGATACCGACCAAAATATTCAATCGAAAAATTATTGTACAGATCTTGATCCCTACAAAATGAGTAAAAATACGATGTATCCCATCAAAAGCCGAAATAATTACGATGAAAAGTGCGTGGAGAAGAAAAGTGGTAGAAGAATAGATCAACGCATGACGGAACTGTTGGCAGAGGTCCCATAAACCACACCCAGCAGCTCTCGTTCGCTGCTTCGTTCCGAAATACCCAGCGATGAAAATCAATATTAACGATACTATGACATTGGGTCCAGCCACTGCAAAAATTTCTCTATGAAATATATAAATTAACATTTTTTAAAAATTAAATTAACCTTAAAATAGTGTATCAACTTTCACGAATAGATAAGATTTTCAGCAATTTCGCCTGTATAAGCGTCTGAAAGGTGCAGTAACTCTTTTCAGACAGTGGGACTTAAAAATTATTCTTAATAGAAAAAGAAACTAATATAAATAATACCAATTACTTCATTGCTAGTTCTAAATCTGTGGTCAGATAAACCATCTCTTGTATGATAGCCACACTGAAGTAAACATGGAAGATGCTAGTATGATTGAAGAAACAAATGCAACGAAGTGGCTTCATACATTGATTGTTAAGTGCGAAGGGATGTGTAACATTCAAATTACACAACTTCCAATATCATTGGCATTTTCGGGGCTATAATATCGTGTACGTGACGAGTCATACTCAAGCGCGTCACGTGAGTCTTCATCTAAAAAGCGATCACGTCTCGGATATCAAGTATTTACGCAAGTTGTCCATGACGTAATTATCCCGAAAAAATGGGATGAGTGTATTAAAAAAACGGACATATTTGAATGAAGTTGACTTTTTTCCAAAATATTGAAAGGTTTACGTTTTCAGTTATAATCATACGGCCCGTCAGCATTATTTTGGCTTTAACATTACTGAAAATTCATTATTCTTGTTGCAATATCTACCAAATAGGCTCATATCTATAGTTTCATAGGATTTTCTCATCTGAGTGCATATATGAATACATTTGATGTTTCGACAAGCGATTTCCAACTTAAATTTTCCAAGTTTGAAAATAAATTAGAGTTTAAAGCATACGTCATCAAAAACTACCGAAAGAATGATGAAGGTATAACATGATATTAAGTGTTTCATTGTGATTTATGTTATGCTCTTTTTATCTTATTACTTGGAAAAATTTTCCATGACACTGATGAAATGTATTTTAATCCCGTATCCAATTCTGAAATAACCCAGAAGAAACTGACGCTGGTCATTTAAATTCTATACAAATTTCAAATGAAAGCCACTGCATTATGATATGTTTATGATTGATGATAGCTTAGTACTACTAAAATTGCACTAAAATTAGCAAATTTAATTAACTCACTTTCTATTTATGTCAAATCGGAGCGGTTGATTCCAAAACGACCCCACGAAGACCCTCTCAACTTCAGGTGTGTTGAGAATCTTGCCAAGAGACCACATGAGGGCTCCGTACACTCGCATCAGTTGTTGGTGATCAATCATGTCAGCTTTGTTCAAAACTATCCGAATTTTGTCATGCTGACCCCGCAATCGTTCGAGAAAATGACGAAATTCATCTGAGATGTCAAGTTTGTGGGCATCAAAAAGCAGAATGATCCGATCAACTCTCTCGGCAAACCATTCCAGGACGCTATGGAAGTCGTACCCTCTGTCCAGTCGTTGTTTCTCACCAGATAAGATTCCAGGAGTGTCGATGATTGTGATACCTTTCAACACACTGGAATTGAGTTGTGAACACTGAAAACGGTTTAGAAAAGTGTTGCCGTACTTTGAAAGAGCTTTAAACGGCCGCTTTGGATCCACGACGAGAGCATTGCCTGGAATGATGCCCTCGGTATGGTTGTAGGAGACGGCAATGAAACTGTCCGTTGTGGGTTCTGGGCCGATCCTGATCCCCGGAAAGTCCTTCTCCAGAAGGTAGCGGATGAAAGTCGTCTTGCCAGTTGAATATTGTCCAACTAGTAATATCATGGGTTTCGAATCAAAATCTGTATCATCGAGAGCGGGCGAATGAAAGTCATGGTATTTATAATACTCTTCCAGTGGTTTTATTTTGGATTTATACGTGACTTTCAATCCTTCCAGGACTGTCTCACACAACTCAAGAGTTTTCTTCTTCCGCTCATCTTTATTCCACGAAAACATAGTTACAGATCGCTGTGTTGGAGGAAAACTCACAAAAATCCGCGCTATACTTCCAGGTAAATGATAAACGTGTATTGCTTTTTACTATGCTCTCGATAATCCAACTCGTTGACACTCCAGAATCACATATGACATGAAGTATGGTCACGCTAGTCACGACGAAGCCAGAGCGTCACCGACAAGCTGCAGCACTGGGCGAGAGCAGACTGGCACGCTGCCTCGGCCCAAGTGCTAGAGGCTGAGGGAGGCGACGCCGTCCGTAGACGAGGGTTCACCGCTGATCGCGTGTGCATGTGTGTCGGTAAGAGTGTCGCACGAGGGTTCATTGTCTCCCCTCGGGTGCCTGAGATAATAAGCTAACCTCAACTTGCGGATTTCTTAGCAGCCATTGGAATTTTTACTCTCAATTTGTCTTGTCAGTTTGACAAACTGATTTAATTGCAGCCGTTTACGAAGTCTTCGTTCTCACACAACGTCTGTAATGAAATCCGCTCGATGAAGCATTGCCATATGAATGAAAACTGGCTGTATACTACATACATATGATGATTTAGAAACATACATATTTATTCTAATTTTTATAAGGCGCGTATCCACATTATAGAGTCGGGATATCACAAAGGAATTTAATTTTCGACTGTGCGATTCTGTGACATTGGATAACGGAGAGAAGACTTGCATTTAAAAATTAAATGTGATTTTTACTTAGGGCGGTGTAAATTTTATTTAAAAAGTTTAGGCTTCCTGTAAATTTCAAAACAGGTCCAAAATGTGATTTCCATGAGGAATGCTGGTTTTGGGTCACTCTTAAATAACGGTAATATGATCACAAAATTATTCAGTGGATTTGGGATCTTGATGGGATTAGGTAAACAAAAATTCGTTAATTTACAATGAATTTCTATCCCGATCAAAGCCAGGCTAAACTGCCAGTCAATAGCAAGGCAGATCAAAAATTCCTAGTGTTATCTTCTTGTATTTGACTAAATATGATCATACATTTTTCACTGTACAATGTGAATAATTTTCATCTAAACTTCTGGAAAGGAATAAGGAAAGATTAAATTTCACCCAAGGAATAATGTAATAAAAACTCATATACAAGTTCAGGAGCTAACGTAAGGAAAAAATATGAAAAATAAACGAAAACGCAAGTTAGTTTCCTACGTGTTCCTACGTTATCTTCAGTGCAGAAGATATCTTGAGGGTACCTTCAGTGCAGCTCTCAAGCGCGCAAGAGCTTCCCGCCCGGTAAGGCTCCTTACAAGTCCTCGAGAATTTCGTTCGTCCTGATGCTCACTCTTGACCTTCTCGTTTACTCAATCACTCTTCAGATAAAGTCTTGTAAATCACTTAGAAGCTATTAAACTGCAATAAGTTCCTTTGCAGCGAGTATTTGCTCGATGTTTCCTTCTTTATCACACGTCAAGTATTCGAATGTACTTACCATGATATGGAACCCCGATCATGAATTCCAATTAAAATTTATTAAAAGGAAAAATTCCCATACACTTTCGATCAATTCTCGCTTATAATGAGCACAATGAGTAGCTTCAGAACAATTCCTGGTTAATTCAGAGCGAACAAACCTGAATCATTTTACAATACCGCAGAATATCTTATTCATAAGCTAGTAAATTCAAAATATTCTGAACATAGATATGCAAATTGGTTTTAGTTTACTGTTCGCCAGCTTCCCGAGTAAGGCAAGCATACATCTGCCATACTCGTACGTACCTATACACTTACGTGCGCAATTCTTGCCAAACGTGACTCTGCCTTCTGTATGATTAGCTCGGCGTTATTTATACTCAAACCCAAGCTTGGTACGAGTGTTTTCAATACGATTAATTAATTATAACAATACCGAGCACACAGTGGTTTCAATCCGTATGAAAATAATTTGAAATAGTTTTGCAAGATTCAGCTCTGTTTAGTATATTAAGCTAAGTGTTTACTATTTTTCTTACAGTTTTTGTAGCTGATTGTGAATACAAACTGGGCAAGAGCCTTGAAGAGGGCAATATTTGGCGGGGAGCCAGCGTGTTGCCATAGCTGGGGGCGCTGCCCGCTAGCACCTATAGCAGCTATAACGTGCTGCTGAGCTCTCATTTTAACGGCACATATTTTCCCTGTGATTTTCCACAATCACTTACCTCCAGTTTCATCATGGCGCGTATACAATTGGTGAGAGCAGCGGCGACCAGTACAACTTTCAAGTGATAACCGTCACAATTTACCATGCTATTGATATCGTTTAAAGTTGCTAGTGGCCACAGAACCCAGTAACCCTTTACACGAATGCTAATAGCACAGTAAATAGTGGCGGTTATTATCAGAAACTTATTGTGGCCGCCACTGCTGACCTCTTGTGCAAGCACCTTAATGCATTTTATGTGCAATACTTTAATCCCTTTTCAGGGGAAGGAAAGATTCAATTTCACTTAAGTAATAATGTCAAGAAAATATTTCATAGATACTGAATTTTATTAGATTGGAAATGCGTTAGGTGAACACAATAAAACTTGAAAAATATAACTCAGTACTCACAGCAGTGAGTGACAGAGAGCGCATTTTCTCGTCAACGAAAACTTGAGGTCACGGACGGACGGACAGATGGACAGACGGACGGACATGGCGAGCACAATAGTGCATTTTTTCCATGAATGAGAAAATGCGCTAAAAAGAGAATTGGCACGAGCTGCTGCCCGCTGAAAGTCCTACAAATCGTGAGCAGGAGCTTCATTTGGCCAGCGCAAGCCGGCAGCGAAACTGCATATACATGGCGCTCTAAGTTCCGTGCCGCCCATCCAGTCAAATAAATGCCAACTGATTTGAATGAAACGCCACCAATTTATATAATAGAAAATTGTGACATGCTGAATATTATGGTGAAGAAGTTTGTCAAACGCTTAAATTCACGGACCTAGCGGATGTGCTCGTAAAATGTATGGTCATTTTAAAACAAGAGACTATAATAAATTGGTTAAGTAATGAATATATATTAAGTTGGGTTTTATTGAGGGTTTGTAGGAAGACAATGAGGGTTTTATTACTTGGGTTGAGAGTAATGGAGTGAAGAAAGTTATCCATAATGGAAACTGGCCGGAGCCACAAATTGTCACAACACTCTGAGCCTCAGTGACGGACAACCAACCTGCAGCATCCGGTCCTCTCCAGAGCTCTCGAAGAGACCCGTACTCCGTGAGAAGACGAGCCGTTGCCTTCGCTCCCAGATCGTCTCGCACCTCAAGGCTGCCTCCCCAGACGAGACGCACGCTGGAAGTCTCACTACTTACTGAAGATGTGGCGTCGTTGACTGTCGTAAGGAATCTGGTGGGCTGTCTCTGAACCGTACTAGAGGCCGGAGTTAGCTTCAATTTTCAATTTGTGATATAAAGAAATGAGGAAGGTTGCGCACTCAGAATCGCAAGAAACGTTGGGAACTGTAGCCGTCCAAATTAAACAAGTACTGATTCAAACCCAAATAATAACAGTCATACAACCGGAATTCTTACACAAGATAAGAAATTTCTTCTTAATGCCTGTCTATATGCCTGAGATTAGGTCCCGATCTTCAGGCGGTTAGTGGTCGTTATTGAAGGTAAACCAATTTTCCAGCGATCTTACTTACTTGGTTAGGGGACGGCGTAGCTCCGACAAAGTTATTACGCCCCAGCAATCTTATTTCTCAGGGACTAAACATAACTATTCATACACCCATCGCCAACACTACGTGAACATCGACCGCGTGCGTAAAACTGGCGGGTTAATTACATGAAAAATTAGATACAGAATAGCTGATAAAATACGTTTTTCAATGACCACAACATTTCTCATTAAAGCTGACACTTCCACGTAGCACTGATACGCCCGTATCTAGGGGACCAAACTGAGTCAGGATGACTCACACCAGAGCAAAAAGTGCATCAGTGTTTGGACCAAATGTCAATCATTTCGATGATTGAAGAATTATTTACAGCTCACGATCCAACATAAGTTTGACTAGAAGTGCATGCCAGCAATGACGCAAAAAATTGAATGACATACGAGATGCTCAATGCTTCTTGTATTTCACGACAATAAGTAACGTAGTAAGTACTCCAGACGTAATGATAATAATTAATTAGGTATTTATAACATAATAGGTAATTAAACCGTGTGTTGTTGCTTATAACGCTATAAGTGTCTTTACACTTAATAAGAGCATTCTGAAAAAATTTAAATAGGTCGAATAATATTTCATATTTGTATTCTAAAGTTTATATATTTACGATATATAACCCTGTTCATGTTCGAAATATCACGTATAAAGTTCCACATAAAATAAAATTGAATGACACCATATTTCAAATTGAGTCAGGGAATTGTATTCATTCCGAAAAACGACCCTAGATATTCAAATTGCAAACGAGGATATTCATTGGTAGATCGTGACACAATGAAATTTCTCCTGGTTGTTCAGAAAAAAAATACAACCAAAAATAAGTCACTATGCATTGGTATATTAAAATATTGAATTAATATGGTGAGAGACGGAAAAATGAATTAATTTCAATTTATTAAAAAGCTTTGATGAACGAACAAACATTAACTTATATGAGTATATTCATGTATTCATTTGCCCCCAAATCCTGTCGATTACCAGAGCGTTTATATAAGAGGAGAACATAGGTACCATTACAAATAATTAGAGCGTATAAAATCGGAACGTATATAAGATTAAATTCAAAATTCTAATAGAATATTTCGGATAAATACCGTTTTCGTGGTAATAACGTCAGTTTATAAAGTCAAATTATGCACAAAACGCTGTGAATTTCTCGCTATTGGAGAATACAATCAACCATGAATACAATGCCAAAATTGAGATTTCAAAAAGTTGAGTTATAGCTAATAAACAGTTTTCTACTAAATTGTTTCTTAAAAAACTTATCTCAAACGAAAATTTAGGTATTACTGAAGTATAAAATTCGATTCATGAGTATCTGTTCTGTCTTCATCATTAGATGTAAATTTATATGCGAATATATCTAGGCAATTTTTTATCCAATTTAAAATCATAACAAACTTTTGGTGACAAAATTTATATGAAAGATATGCAGGAATTCGTCAGTAGCGGGCCGACATTTGTCCGATTGCGTTCAACATGCAACACGGTAACGGTTGCGTTCTTATTATCAATGAATAGGGAAGCTTCAGACAACACTATT